GTTGATTAAAAACACAATTCAATTGTGATTTCGAAATGAGTTTCAAGACTTTTATCGAGAAAAATATCGATCTCTCGAGCGATGAGTCGTTTTGTGTCCTAAAGAGTGATCACGTGATCGAAAGACACGAAGAATGGCAGCGATTGTTACCACGAGTTAAACAATACTTTTCGCTGAAATTCAATTCTTTTGAACCGTTTTTGAGAATTCTGTCGGAATTTGGATTTCATTTCGAAGTTTCGAATCGAGTAATGAATTCGCGTTTAAATAAACTTTTTTTTCTAATTTTCTCACTTTTAGACAGATTTGAATGTTTTGGACGAAATTGGAGTCAATTTTGTGCGCGTTTTGTCGACTAATTGTTGCAAAAGCGACGAATTTGTGGCGGAATTGAAATCTCGCGGCATTTCGTTGTTATGTATTGATTGCGAACACGAATTGCAAAGAGTTGTGTCAATACACGCGACGACACGAGTATTGTTGAGATTATGTTTGGAAAAGAACTCGAAATTCGGATTAAATTTCGAATTGATTTCGAATTTTCTGCAAAAATCAAAATCTCTTCGAATAAAAGTAATCGGAGTTTCGATTCGCGCTAACAATGCTTTGCAGTTAGAAATGGCTTTAATTGCGGCCAAAATGGCGTTCGATTTGGGATTCAAAGCGGGACTAGAAATGAAGGTTTTGGACATTTGCGGCGATTTCTCGCGAATTGAAGACATTTCGCACATTATTAACGAAAACATTGAAACGAATTTCAAAAACACGACAATTATCGCAGAAATGAGTCGTTTTTTCACAGAATATGCTTTCGTTTTGTTCACAAAAATCATCGCCAAAAGAAAAACCGCACAAAATATTCACTACTATTTAAACGACGGAATATTCGGCTCTTTTCGCGACGTTTACGTCTCGGACAGACAGCCGGAGCCCAACTTTCTCCTCATCAATGATTGGCGCCGACGACCAGTCCATGAGAGCATCGTTTGGGGCCCGACTTGTGACAGCTCTGACTGCGTGTTGCGGTCCATAGAAATGCCGGAACTGTTTGTCGGCGAATGGGTTTTGTGGGAAGGAATGGGAAGTCATTGCTATTCGCCGGCAAAGCACTCGTTTAACGGCATTTCTCTTCCCAAATATAAAGTGTTTTCCAGTAATTAATTGTATTTTCTTTCATGACGTCAGAGAATAAATTGAAATGTGTTTTGGAAAGAGTTTTAAATATTTGTCATTTGTTTTCAAAGGATGTCTGGAATCGAGACTTTTATCCGAAACTTGATTTCTGGCGAAAAGTCGTTTTACGTCTTCTCCGTCGAAGACGTGATCCGAAAGCACGAGAAATGGTGTCAACTCTTGCCTCGCGTTCAACCCTTTTATGCCTTGAAATGCAACGATTTTCCGCTTCTGTTGGATATTCTCATTGGTCTGGGCTTTGGCTTCGACTGCGCGTCCAGAGTATGAAAACACATAATATTGTTTTCTTTTAATTGTGTTTTCATTTCAGTTGGAAATCGAAAACGTGTTGAAAAGCGGCGCAAAAAGTGAAGAAATAATTTTCGCGAATCCGTGTAAAAGTGATTCCGTTATTGAATACGCGCTGAGAATGGGAACCGATTTAATGACTTTCGATAATTGCGAGGAATTGCGGAAAATACGGAAATTGTTTCCAAACGCGAGACTTGTGTTGAGACTCAAAGTCGACGACAAAGAGTCTGCCATTCGGTTGAGTCTCAAGTTTGGCGCCGTTGGAAATCGAGAATGCGTTGAAAAACGGCGCCAAAAGTGAAGAAATAATTTTCGCGAATCCGTGTAAAAGTGATTCCGTTATTGAATACGCGCTGAGAATGGGAACCGATTTAATGACTTTCGATAATTGCGAGGAATTGCGGAAAATACGGAAATTGTTTCCAAACGCGAGACTTGTGTTGAGATTGAAAGTCGACGACAAAGAGTCTGCCATTCGTTTGAGTCTCAAGTTTGGCGCCGACATGACTGAAGTGCGGCAATTGCTGCAAACGGCCAGAGAGTGGTCTCTGGATGTGATAGGAGTGGCCTTTCATGTCGGCACCGGTTGTCAAAGGAGTGAATCGTTCGCCGAAGCGATAGAGTTGTCGCGAAAGGCGTTTGATTTGGCGCTGAGTTTGGGATTCAATATGCGATTACTGGATATCGGCGGAGGATTTCCCGGAAAGGAATGCAAAACCAGTTTCGAAGAGATTTGCGAAACCATTAACGAGAGTTTGGAGAAGTACTTCCCGTCGGATCACGTGCTGGTGATGGCAGAGCCCGGACGCTATGTCTGTGAGTCTGCCTTCTCTTTCGTGTCTCCGATTGTCGTCAAAAAGAGTGACGAAAAACAAATGCAATACTATTTGAATGCAAGTATTTTCAACGTCTTTAATAACGTCGTGTTTGAGAACCAGATTCTGGAACCGATTCCTCTTCTCAAGGACTCCAACGCTTCCAGAGATGTGTTCACAACAACTCTTTGGGGCGACTCTTGTGTCAAAAAGGATTGCATTCGAAGAGACTTTCAAATGATTGAAATGAATGCCAAAGAATGGCTTCTCTTCAAAGACTTGGGTTCTTATAGTTTGCCGTTTAAACACTTTTGTTTCCCTTTTGACCCAAAGGTCAAGACTTTTGTCTCGAAATATGCGTTAAAATGTTTGATGAAAATGAAAAATTGGCACAAAATTAGACAAACTTTGTGATTCTGGAACCGATTCCTCTTCTCAAGGATTCCAACGCTTCCAGAGATGTGTTCACAACAACTCTTTGGGGCGACTCTTGTGTCGAAAAGGATTGCATTCGAAGAGACTTTCAAATGATTGAAATGAATGCCAAAGAATGGCTTCTCTTCAAAGACTTGGGTTCTTATAGTTTGCCGTTTAAACACTTTTGTTTCCCTTTTGACCCAAAGGTCAAGACTTTTGTCTCGAAATATGCGTTAAAATGTTTGATGAAAATGAAAAATTGGCACAAAATTAGACAAACTTTGAATGAGTTGTGAAAACAATGTTTGCGTTGAAAATTGTATTTTTATTCATCAAATGTAAGGATATTTCAAATAAATTAACGAATTATTGATTTCTGAATTCATTTTTCTTTTTACACACATTTTCTCGAATTTTGTCTCTTCTTTGCGTTAATTCTTCGAAATAAATCTTGAAAATGAATTTTTGTGATTATTTGCCAAAATTGTC